GGCCAGCAGCCATTTTGCCCCTGAAAATGAGCCACATCAGGTGTTTGTCTGATTGACCCTGAAGCTGGATAAAATGAAGATTACTGATCTTGTAGTAGGGACAAACGAGGCAAGGCACCGAAGATAGCATGAAACAGTTTTATTTAGCTGCAGACAGGTTCAGAGGGCACAGCCTTTGCTCTAATCAATCAATCTCCTGAACCCCGAGTTCACTGAGTTTCAGAGTTTTATACCCAGTGTGTAAAGGGAGGGGCTCAGAAATTCACAATCTGCAGAAGTTCACATAAAAGCAGCTTTTGCTTTCACTGTTCTGGGCAAGTAACTCTTCAAGGACAATACCTGAGAAGGGGAGAGCTTCATCTCCCCTTTCTTTCCTCCACTTGCCAGCTGTTACCATGGGCCCATTTGTAACTTATCTTAAAAATGTAGACATCTCTGTGAAGCCCAGCTCAAGGCCAGAGGACTTGTTTGCACATTTCTTCAAAGTACAATACTGGATATGTTTGTGAAAACTAGTAAGGGGGTGTCCAGCACCTGGAGTGCTGGTATCATCTCGGCCAGTGGCCAAGTAAACAGGGTGACACGAAAATAGGAAGTTTGTCTACAATGGACTCTTTTGCTGACAGTCCTAAAATCAGCCATGGTGAAGAGGGCTTTACTGTGGAGAAAGGGGGTGCCACTTCAATCTGAGACCTGCTCCCTGCATTCACCATTTGTGCACTCATGTTCTTACAGAAACATATTCTGTAATCTCAAAATTTCTAATCCTGTGAGCCATAGGATCTGTGATTTATAGTTTTAAAACTAAAAAAAAATTATTGGCATCAAAACATTATTCCTGTTGTTAACAATACTTATTTGCCAGACAGAACTCAAAATATACACTAATATAATAATTACAACTATTTTCATTCATCTCTATCTTACATATTGATGTATTAAATCTTAAAGAAAACCTAGAGGATATATCATTATCGTTATCATTTACTATTGGAAGAAATAATATTGAAAACGTGAATTAAATGTCCCTCTTGCTATGTGGTCTTTGAGATATTTTATAGTTTACATTTTCAAATTTTAAGTTTCTCTGATCACAAATCAATCTAAAAATAATTTAGTGGGAAGAAAATAGCCAAAATGCTAACAAAGGGAAACACAGGAATGTCATCGCTTTTTCAGCACAGGATAATAAATAGTGGAAGATGTACACTGAAACACAACACCCCTTAAAAGGTGCCATGTGGAATTATTCACATTTTACTCTCCTTGATGTAGTGTGACAACTAAAGGAATAAAAAGAAAAAAAAATCACTAACAACAAAAACAGCAAGAAAACACTTGAAAAGGTGAAGGCACCGTAAAATGTCCAAATCACACCATAACCTCACACTCTCACTTCTGAATTATCTTTTTCTTAGCAGGGTAGAAATGGAGATTCAAACTGCATAACCTTTCATCTAACAACACCATTGCTATGCTACTGAGAAGGCTTAAGTAACTTAATTCTTCTCACAAAGCCTGATGTTGATATTTGGCAACTTCTAATCTGGCTAGGTGCCCTGACATGAATTACAGATTCTTTGTGCTCCTTTTGAGAGGAGTTTGAGGAGGATGAAAGCAGATACAGACAAAGGCAGATGGAGCCTAGGAGCCAAATAGCATGAGGTTCCTCTCTACTCGAATGGATTTGGCAGCCTCATACTGTTTTAAGGAAGAAAAATAATTTTCTATAAAGTAATTAAATAGTATCTTAAACAAACTATCTCTGTGGTTGCATTTTGCTTTGATTTAATTTTAAAAATGTCCTTTGAATGGGGGCTGGGGTTGTGACTCAGCAGTAGAGCTGATGCAGCGAGTAGAGCACTCGCCTAGTGTGTGTGAGGCCCTGGGTTCGATCCTCGGCACCACATAAAAATAAATAGATAAAAGTATTGTGTCCAATTACAACTAAAAATAATTTTAAAAAAATATCCTTTGAATGTAAATTAAAATTAAATGGATGTTTTAGGTCATTATTGGCATGGATTACCTTCTTTTTATTTTTTATGAGTAACAATTTTTTATTTTTTTAAAGAGAAGGATAGAATTTAATCTTTATTTACAGGACACTATAAGATATGGAATTTCACATAGAAATAAGAAACCCATTTAGAGGACAAATTTTATACAGTATGTATAGTTTGTAACTGTTCAAATATAGTTTTTTTTTCTGATTGTATACAAAGTATATTCATACCAATTCATGTCTTCATACTGTATACTTTGGATAATATTGATCATCACATTCCACCATCATTAATAATCCCATGTCCCCTCCCTTCTCCTCCAACCCCTCTTCCCTATCTAGTGTTCATCTATTCCTCCCATGATCCCTCTCCTTACCCCACTATGAATCAGCCTCCTTATATCAAAGAAAACATTCAGCATTTGGTTTAAATCTAAGACATTTCTGTCTTAATGAGGAAAACTACCCCATTTTCAACAGCCTCAAAAAAATAAAAAATAAAATACTTGGGACTCAGCTTAACAAAAGAGGTGAAAGATCTATATAATGAAAATTACAGAACCCTAAAGAAATAAATCAAAGAAGACCTTAGAAGACGAAGATCTACTTTGTTCTTGGGTGGGCAGAATTAATATTATCAAAATGACCATACTTCCAAAAGCACTATACAGATGTAACGCAATTCTGATCAAAATCCCAATGACATTCCACATTGAAATAGAAAAAGCAATCATGAAATTCATCTGGAAAAATAAGAGACCCAAAATAGCTAAGGCAATCCTTAGTAGGAAGAGTGAAGCAGGTGGCATCACTATACCAGATCTTATATACTACAGAGCAATAGTAACAAAAACAGCATGGTACTGGCACCGAAACAGACTTATAAACCAATGGTACAGAATATAAGACACAGAGACTAACTCTCAAGTATAGTTTTGTTGTAAAAAAAAAATCTACAATAACAAGCCATATTTAAAAAGAATTCTCAGTAGAGAAACAGTAAGACAAACATATTAAACACAGTACACAACAAAATTATGCCTCTGCTGTATGGCTTAGAAGTTAAAAGTCCCAGGAGCCCCATCCTGAAGTTGGAAGATATAGCCTTCAGAGGTTTCTGGCACAACATTTGATCTTCCTCTTTCTCTACTGAAAAATACAACCAAGTTTAATGAGGCCTTGTAGGCAGACTCATTTTCATGGTTCTGTAGAGCTTCAATTTTGTCTAAGCCTCCACATTCTTCAATAATTATAGTCAATTTTCTCAGTTTCATCTCATTTCTCAGCAGCCTGAAAGATATTTCAAATGGCACCCAGAATAATTTTGGTATCTTTTGCTGTTAAGAAGTTCACCAATGGTTCTATTACTCCACAATGAAGGAGATACACAATCTGATCAACTGTCCCACCACTTGTCCAATTGATCACAGCCCAAACAGCTTCATTTTGTGTCTTAAAGTCTGCCTTAGAACACCAATGAGGAGTGGGGCTAATTCATGATTGACAACTTGCTGTATCTGGTCCTGTTGGCCAACTGTGATGTTTGACATTGTCCATGTAGCTTCTTTCTGAATATGAGTTCGCCTTTCATGACTGGTGTTTAGGGTACAAGTCTTTTAGGCTGACTTTTATAACAGAGACAACTCATTTTCAGAGAGAATATTAAAAGCCATAGAAATGGGAAGCATTAGAGTCTGGGTCAAACCAAATCAGTTTTAATGTTAAGACATTAAAATTCTATAATGCTGTTTTGTAAAATATCCCAAAGTTTTGATCCATTCTGAAAACATTTTAGGCAGTCTTGTGTGATGAGCCTTTAACTCAAAAATCACAGAGAATAAATAAAAATGTATACAGGTGATGCTATATAATGTGGGACCAGTTATGGGAAGCTTCCTGAGGACATGATTTTGAATCTTTATTGTATTCTGCCCTACCCTGTATTCTGCAATTATATAAACACTATCATGTGTACATAGAAAATAGCATGTGCCAATTTCTTGAAATACATTAAAATCCTAGAACCAGATGATTCATCTACAAAGAGGTAATTAGAAATACCTATATAGTTGGAGAATTTGTCTAAAATGAAAGTATCGCTAATATGCTAATACGGATTTGATTGTCTTTAATGTAGTCTGCCTATTCTAATATTCCTGAGTAATTAACAGCCAAGAAATCTTTTTTTTTGCCTACCTTTCTTAAACCTAATTTGTTTAAAAGATACCAAAAGCAGAGCCAACTTGAAATTTGTAATTTATCTGAATACATTTTGAAATAATATATTTGCTAAGAAAGAAAATAACTTGACCAGGAATTTTAGAAAATGTGCTTTATTTCATGAAACAAGATACTAGAATAACAATGCTAGTAACATGTTTTTCATTAAAGTTCTTTTCACTATAAGCAATGAAATAATAATCTGATAAAAGAGAACCTAAAAAATATTGATAACTATGCTATTTATGCTGACTGACACTTACCATGGGTCAGGAAAACTTCTAAGTTCTTAACATGTATTTTAATTTATTATATTCTCATAAAAAAGTGATCAGGTATGGTATGATTATACCATGATAGAGTTGATAAAACTGAGGGAAAGCCTGGTGCACACCTGTAATCTCAGGAGCTCCGGAGGTTAAGACAGAAGGATCAAGAATTCAAAGCAAGCTTCAGCAATTTAGCAAGGCACTAAGTAACTCAGTGAGAGTGCCTATCTCTAAATAAAATATGAAAAAGGACTAGAATGTGGCTCATGGTTAAGTGCCCGTGGCTTAATCCCCATTGATGAAGTCATCTAGACATGTGGATTATTTGTGAAAATATTTTAAATTACGAACTCAATTTATTCACTAGATCAAGGACAAAGGATATATTCATCTTGCTTCTCAGTTTGTCCTTAGTGTTCAGGAATCATAACATTCCAATACAGAATGCCCTGAGTTTCTGGGGTTTTTGGAACTATTTTGGAATCTTTAGCTACCATGGTAGCAGGAGTACACATCACAAACACGAGTATAAAGAAGCTGCCACAGGTTCAGCTAAAACACTTTCTTAATTTACTTATTGGTGAAAGTTATCAGATGGATATTTCACTTTTAATTTGAAAACAAGAAAGTTTCACATAGATGCTTCTCATTTAACATCTCTTCTCTTTCCACAGCACTATAAATCTATTACTATTTTTATTGAGTTAGTATGACTTTGCATATGGAAATTAAAAGACTTTTTTAACTTTATTAAAAAGAAATATAGAAAACAGCTGCTGAAAAATACGGTAAGATGAATAAATGACAAATCTTTACTCAGGTATCAGGTATGAGTATTTTGGTCTTATTCATGCTATTTTATGTAAAGTTTTCAAAGTATATGCTTTAAAGCTCATAATAACAGGTCAAATATTGTGATATCTATGTGATATCCAAATTGTTAAATATTATCATATCTCATCAGAATTATCATTTTTGAAAAAATTTTCAAAGTCAGTACTCTGTTGTTATTGTTCTGTCAGTGAATATAAGTTGAATATCAAATGCATCTAGGATAAAATTACCTTAACTAAGAATTTACCAGTCTCAGTTTCTTAATATAACATAAAAAAATTGCCTTATGCTAATTATTTAGAGTGGTCTTAAAATTTTAAAATATTTTCACCTTTGATTATTCAGTGTTTATTAGCATTTTTAAACTCCTAACATATTATCATTATAAGCTATTTTGTTAATAACAAATCATGTCTTAAGTCAATGTTAATGTGTATGGAAGTAAGGACTAAATACATATTTTTTTAATAAAAAACATCAACTATAGCCTTTTTCTTCGAATTCTTTTTTTTTCCTTAAAACTCATGCTAAGAAAACAGTCAAATGGTACACAAATGACTAATGGTGTCATTAATTCTGACCCTAAATGACATCACTATAGTTGATATAAGATGTTGCTTATTTGTTTTCTGTTATTAGCAGAGATCAGATGTTCAGGGAATTCAGAGATCACAGAATTGTAAGTGAGACTCTAGTTAAATATTTAACTATTTAACAGTTCAAATAATCTTAAACGTTTAAATAGTATGATACAGAACTTCTTTTAAAAATTTTTTTTTAGTTCTTACTGGAATTATTTTTATATAACTAGAAACATTTTTAAAATACATAATGTATTTCCATACTAATAACAAGTGATATATTTATTGAAAATGAAGTGATTGGTGGAAGATTATATTTAGCAGAAATAATTTAACTGAGACATACAAATAATAATTCCATGCATTATTCTTGATCGACTCAATATGTACTTCAAGATAAAGTTATTAATATATAATTTATGAGTTGTGACTTAGACCCAATTTGAGTGATATCAACCTTATAATTAGTTTACTGACTCTAAATCATATATTCACTGCTTTCTCCTCCAGTGAGCCGGACTGAGCCTGGTTTAGACCCGGCCACATTTCTCCTAATACAAGTCAACACCACAACCAGAACTGTATGAAGGAATTCTCAGCACATATAGGGCTTTTTCTGTTGCAAGCATCACTAGTTCACCTGTAGTGGAAGCCAAATAGACATATTGAGCTCAGCACACTAAGGAACAATGGAGAGCTCTGAATCAAAACGGATCAGTAAAAAGAAGATACTGCAGTTGCTTTCCCCTTTCTGCTCTTGTGCCCGAGAACAAAGTCAAGTCAAACAGGAATCTCCCGAAGTGGGAAGGAACCTCTGGAAAGCTAACCGCGCGTCCCGAGAGGAGAACGACATCTTCAGGGAGGACAACAAGTCCCTGTGGAGAGAGAACAAAGCTCTCAGGGGGGAGAGCGAAGCCTTCCGCAGGGACAACAAGTTGATCCGGGAAAGGAACCAGCTCCTGCAGGAGGAAAACCAGGTCCTCTGGGAGCTGAAAAAGACCACTCTGGAGAAACAGAAGTTATCTAGAGAGAATGTCAAGGCCTTGAACACGCAGAGAAAATCCAGTCGGCAACAGAAACGAGCCCGCGAGGCCCAGCTCAAGGCCCTCAAGCAGCAGCAGATCGCCTTCCAGAACGAGGCCAAGGCTCTGGACGAGGAAATGAGGTCTCTGAACCAGGAGATCAGGGCCCTGCACCACCAGAAGAGAGCCATCAACATGGAGGAAGAGGCCCTGGTGAAGGAGGGCATGGCGCTGGGGAAGGAGGAAGAGGCCCTGTGGAAGGAGGAGCGGGCCCTGCGGAAGGAGAACAAGGCTCTGAGAGAGGAGCACAGCGCCCTTGAGGAGGAGGAGAGAGCCCTGCAGGAGGAGGCTCTGCTCCTCCAGTCCTGGTACAGCTTTCTTCAGAAAAGGGAGCCCAACAATCCTGCTGGGAAAAAGCACAATAATAAAGTAGAGAAGAAGGGGAACTTAAAGATGTGACTGAGAACCAGGAGGATCATTGACATTCCAGGAAAAAAAAAAAATAGAATTTGAAGTTAAAATACTGGTGTTGGGATTGGGATAGAAACCCTGGAAATTTATGGGGCTCAGTATTTTATCCTGGAAACTAAATAAAGTCTTTTAAAGAAAAAAAAAATAGAATGATTTTTTTTTATGTTTACTTAAATTTTAGACCCTGATGGTAGTAGTAAGTACTATTTAATACAAAAAGAAATGCATCAAAACGTGGCATCAAATGTAAAAGTTAAATTTACAATTTATTTTCAGAGACATTGGATAACTGATTTCTCTTGTAAGAAATTAGGAGCAAATATATATCTTAAAACTTCTATTAGATTTATGAATAATATAGTGAAATACACAATTTCTTATGTTTATTCCACATGTGATTTATTGAAGAGTGTCTCTTCTGGTTCTTTGTACTTAAACTGTAATAATCTAGTTCAGGAGGCCATTAAACTGGTAAAGATTTAAAATATGTAATAATAGAAAAATAAGAGTAGGCTTCTCTACTTTGCCTTTATTTTTCCTTTCATTATATTCCTTGTCCTTAACGAGAAGAGGACAACTCCGTTGACTGAATGTATTAATGATAGAGAAGAAGGAAGTGAGAGAACAAAGTTCTCCAAAACTAAAATAGAAATTTTATAGTTTGAAATATGAATCTGGTTAGTATGTTTATATTTCAAAGGAAATTGAACAAGTTTTTTATCCTTAAAAGTATTAATGTTGATAATCCATCTAATCAAGAGCTCATTTTAAAAAATAATTTGCAAAAATTAGTCATACAGATTCATTAGAAATACATATGTAGTTTCAGAACATTAGATTAAAACTTAGAGGATTTGTGCCATGTTTTTCATCAGTTCAAATTTTGAATACTTAAAGCACAGAAAACAAGAATTTATTGGTTTTATTGAATATACCTGAAGTCATATCTCATCCTGATCCTTGTCTGGTGTTGGGGAATGGAAATATAGGAAAAATATAGGAAGAGAACACATTTGCTTTCATCCATGCTACTATCTCTACAAATGTCAAGTTAGGTCCACTGAATGTTTCTTGTTAGCACTCTACTAAGTAATACGGATAAATTTAAGGATTACACTACCCACAAAGGAAGATTAACATAGATACATTTCTACTTCACTCTTTAAGGAAATCCATCTACCTGATAGTTTACTGATCACTGTTCCACCATATCTAGCACCAATTAAATAAAATGATTTATACTTAGAGAAGATTTTAAAAGCATGGTTCACAACCAATTGCTTGACAAACTTGGAGTCCAATTGGCACAAAAAAAATAGACAAAACCATTTTATCATTGTTGCTCCCTCAAAAGATATTAACAAAAGCCTGCAGGGCAACTTCAGAGATCTAGAAATTTGTGGATATCCTGTTCTGTACCCTATACATTCACTTTGATATGTTACTGTTCATACTAAAGAACTAGTACTCTTGAAATTCCCTAAATAGGAGAAATAAACCATTTTATTCTTTGGTGGTGAGGTCAGATGCCGTTGAAGTGGAAGGAGTTATCAAGATTTCCTCTCTGTTGGAAAATGGTCACTATTGCATCATAGTAAAAGTAGCAGTAATTCAGTTTGAAGTGACAGCATAGAACATACTAATCAAAATTTCTCTCTCTCCTTGAATTCAAATGTTAAGCTTAGGATTAGTACTATTACAAAGAAAAAAAATTATAGCATATTTTGAAAGTGAGAAATTAGATAATTAAGGAATGAGTTTAAACAACTTATGTAAATATACTTTATTATATTGCTATTATTTCACTAATATACTAGTCGAAATCTTACACTAAAAATTCCAGTTATTTTATCACATTTATGAAGTACCATGCAAAGAACTATATTTAACATGCCACATAAATTGCACTTCAGTATACAGTAAAAAGTTTTCATATTAGTGCTAAAAAATTGTTAAAGCATTGATAACAATTGTTTGAGAAAATGGTAGCATCTTGCTGCTCACAGTGGAAGATCTTTGGTGGCCTTTTACTCTGTTATTCACCTAGAGCTTTAAAGATTTCTAGGTAAACAAAAGAGCTGTCTGTAGAAGCTGTCTATACCCACAAAATCAATCCTATTTAACAAATAGTTTTGTTCTTCTTTATTTACAGTATATTCACTAGCAATAATGTATGAAACAAGCAAGACTAATTGTCTAGAAGAGATCCTACCATAGGGAAGTTATAGTAACATGAAATTGGAGGCCTGAGGTAACACTATAAAAAAGGAAAACCACACATATGGAGGTTATCAATATTTTTGTATACAATTAAAAATGAGAAAAGATTCCTTTGGAGTGTGGACTTACCAAATGAAGAAAAAAGAGAAAAAAATTAGATTCCAGACACAGCAGGAAGAAAAATGTGCTATAGGACTGACTAATGTCAAGATAAAAAAAGATTACAAATCTCAAAAAAGTATGTTGGATACATACTTGGGAGGTATTCAATAACAGGCAAAGGAACTTGAACTTTTTTTCACAGACATGTCAATACAAATTAAAATTGTCTATAAAAGTGAGATAACCTTATGTAACTGAGCAATATTACTCAAGAGAAATATATTCTCTGAACTTGTCCCCCTTTATTATTTCTTTGGATTTCATATTAATTAATTTATTCAATTGTTATTATTCATTGATGACCTTCCATATGTTAGGTGCTGGCTGATACTGGATACTCAGTGGAGACCAAAGAAGAAAAGTCCCCTTCCCTCATGATATCCAGAAATGGAGGCCATCTGAAGGTCATCTGTATCTGAGTATCCTCATTAAGATTGTCCTTCCTCAAGGCCAGCAAGTAATCCTTAACTTCAGGAGACAATAGTTATGTGGGTGTTACAAATATACTCTTACAAATGTTAGACTGTTTATCTTTCTTTACAAACCATGTAATCTAAACTCAATTACTATGTTCCTTTTATTAAGGTCAATGAGTCATAGGCTTCCAGATCTGTACTTCTCTACCTTTGCTTATACTCCATTATGCTCTATATATCCTCTAATTTGTCCAATTTCACATCACTCTCCACCATCTTGGAACAGTTTATCAAAACTTCTGCCCCTCAACCTCTTATCTGAAAGTTCTGTAGCCTTCTTTTCCTGGATTTGTCTCAGTGGAGTAGCTTTGTTAGTTTGCCTTGCAGATGAGGCTTGTAGACCCCAGGAAAGATGGAGATTGTAGATATATTATAAATTTATTCACTCCTATTGCGTTTCCAAAACCTTTATCCACCTTCTTCCTATAAAAGAAGCCCATGGTATTAGACAACAACATTTTCTATCCTATTATTTCCAGCTCAGATAATATCAGTTTACTCTCAGATAATATCTCCTTCATAATCTGGATCATAGTATTCTTCTCTATCTCGACAGCTTTCACATTTCTTTCACTTCAAACTGAACATAGATGATTAGTTCAGAAATGGAATATTCACCTCCTTTGACATTCTTATTTAAAAGATTTTCCTACAATAACCTATGATGGTTATTGTATTGAACCTCTAAATGGGTCCAGCCTATGAACCCATTGACATACCTTAAAACCTTTATGATTGGCAAACATATTATCTAGAAACCGGAACTGTCACTCTTTTGGAACATTCACACTATACTTTTATTATATTTCCCAATGTCCCCAATTGATTTAGAAACCCAGCTCAGGTAAAACTCATTTGCTTTACCAGCACCATTTCTCTCACTATTCAGTTTAGATTCTGGTTCATTATAATATTTTTGAAAATGTTCTTTACTTTTTTTATTTACGCTTCACTGAACTAACCCCCAAAATATCTAAATTCTATTCCCTGTAATAATCTACCTTGCCTGGTATACACAAGAGTAGCTGAACATAGCTAGAAGCATTCCTATAGCCAATCTCTTTCGTTATTCTAATAGGTGTGAGGTGATATCTCATTGTGGTTTCAATTTGTATTTCCCTGATGATTAATAATGTTAAGTAGATTTCATACGTTTGTTTCTTTTAATTAGATTTTAAAAGTTCTTTGTGCATTTTAGACGTATTCCTTTGGCAGTTATATGGACAACCATCTGAACACAAATGTGCCTGAGCCCAGCCCAAATCAGAACCACCCAGAAAAACAAGCTTCAATCACCAACCCACCATTCTATGAGCCAAACCAATGCTGACTTTAGTCTTTAATGTCATGTTTGTGATTGGCAATAAAGATGATAAATATTCAATAAACTAAGTTGTCTTCTTACTACTATTTAATATTTTATATTTTTTTGTTTTAAAGTTCTACAATACTTTATAGATGTTAAGGCATTTTTAGTTAAACAGTGAAGTATTATATTCCATTTTGTTCATTTATAGCATTAAGAAAATACGTGCACTTGTGAACATAAACTAATTACTTTCTATCAGCAAAATAACATGATTAACTAAAAACTTCAGTGACTGCTTGTAAAAATTAATACATTGTTACTTTTATATGAACAGAATCATGTAAACATAATTGTGATATTACTAAATTGTATTTCAAAATAATGTATAAATTACTTCAGACTAAGAACAAGATGACATGTAGAACCAATTACTTGCATATGAAAAGAAGCACAAGTACTTTAAATTATATCAATGTAAAAAATACATTTAAATTATATTTCTCATTTGCAGTCAACTGAGGAAAATTTCTGACAAATATAATCTGAAAGGTGATCATTAAGTTCATTTAATATAAATAAGAAAATCAAAAGGACTAAATATAATTTTAGGAAATTGGGTTATTTTAGGATAGCTTTGTTTCTTTCTCTAGTAGAGACAATCAGGTATTACTAGTCAGTAACAATCAAGTATTACTTTGAGTGGCTTTACATACTACTAACTTGTGATAAACATTTAGCACACTTGGAAAAGAAGGGAACATGCTTAACTTGATATGAAAAATCTACAAGTAATGTGCTTAATAAAGAGAAATTAGATGTTGTCCTGCTAAGACCAGGAACATGGATATCTTCCCTTACCACCACTTTTCAACATTATACTTAGTCCTAGATAATGCAGTGATACAACAAAAGGAAATAAAAACTATGTGGGTAGGAAAAATTAACTGTTTTTGTATTCAGATAATAT